GTTAACAAGAAATGCGGAATATGTTTTAACCGCTAGAAGAGCGTTTAGGAGATGCAGCTAAAAGATACAATGCGTATTAGGTGCGACAATAAAAATCACTTTCAAAAACAGAGTTTTGTTATTCGTTGCATCACATGTCTGAAATGTATGTGTAAGATATATTCGTTCGGAAAAGAGAACGATAAAATGATTACATTATTTGTTCTATGGCTAGTTCTACGAAAATTGAGCAACTTCGTGAAAGATATTGCACATATCCTTTACTAAGTTTAAAAAAGTGTGTCTTAACATAGATTTAGTGGAAAATATAATTCTACTGTTCCCGACAGGTACAGTGACATTATACAGTATTTTCGAAGTTATTCGAGATTTTCTGACAAATACCTCCAGGGGACTGACAGGTAGTGAAGGGTAATCGAGTCGCTTGAGCCGGCTCAAGATCAACGCTGGCGGCGAGTCCACCATCATAAGTAAGAACTCCGGGCCTCGGCGAGTCGAAATGTTATCTGATACCCCTACAAGCCATCGTCGACCGACACTCGGCTTACAGTGTAAACACACAGAAAGATTACGTATGAATAAAGATTTAAACTTTTACTCTTTTCAATGAACTTTATCAAAAATGTTATGAAAACATTGAGATTTTTTTCCTCATGAAAATAAGTCCAAACACGACATAATTTAGACTATTTTCAGTATTATGTACATACGTATGTAGTTCGATTCGCAACAGTAAGGGAAAGGATGATAATTGATGTTATTTTATTAGTTTAAAGAGAAAAGATAATATTCACAGAAAGAATAATGTTTCTAGACAGCAAAAAGGAAACAAAATAAACTGTTTATTTAAAATAACAACGAAATATCCGCTCTTACTCAGATTGCTCTTTTACTATTCCGTATATTCTCAATACAACTCACAGCACGTGTGCGACTCTCTTATTGCGAATGATAGACAGAAACAACCAGGAAACGAAAACAAAACATATTCACGCACGCTTCTCGATCAAAAGAAAGACTATGTGTTTTGTTACGCTGCTTTTTGCCAGCGTAACGCGACCGCTCCAAATTCGAGCGTGGAGCATAGTACGAATAGAACCGGACCGCCCTCTACCCCGCAAAACATCGCTCAGCACACGCACTCGCAGGCACACGAGCGCTCCTAGAGGAATCCCGAGAATTTACGAACATTTGAATAGCGACTAACCGCGTCTTTTACCGCGCCGAGCATCTGCGCACAATTACAGAGCCGTAACGAACGTGAGGCGACACCCGACTCCGGAACCGTTTTCCCCCACCCTGACCAGGAGCCGCCATTGAACATTGGCAATCGGCCGAATATTGGGACAAGGGTCTTCCGCCCTCCGAGAGGACCACACTGCCAAACAACGGTGGAGGAGCCGACCTCGTGAGGCGGCCGGTCGACTGCGGAGTAGGCGAACATCGGCACCAACGGAGTCGGATCATATTGGCAGTGACCGGCGCCTCCCTCTGCACATGACTCCCTGTCCCCCCGCGTTTCTTGGGTAATTCACATTATCCGTCTAGCCGACGGCAGGCTACTACCCCCACCACTGAGCCTGGCCCAAACCAGCCGTCTGTAATCTGTTTGCCGTCGACTCGTGGGACAATATGGTCGTAAACGGCCGCATTTGGGATACACGTACTGCAGCCCGCCGCGCTAATCCGAAGAAGTGTTTTTTCCTTCTCCAAATTTTTCCGTAACACTAATAACCTGAAAGGGAGGTTGGGTTCTTCCTCCACCGGTGAGGGTTGACCTTAAGGAGAATCTTTCGTCAGGTCAATTAAAGAATCAGAGTGGCGTCGGAACGTAAGTACATGCCCGAAGAATCGCAGTCCTAACGTCGTAAAAGGAGGAGGAAGCAAACAATGCGATATACCTGACCACCGAATGGCTGACCGAGCTGATGTGATCCGACAGAGCGTTAACTTCAACTAATATTCATATGGCCAATTTTGATGTGACCATATTTTTGAAAATTTGTCCATAAAGGGACACATAGGGCTATAACCTCGTCTTTTTCAACTTTTTAAGTAGTGCCCCGCTGTTATAAAATTGAATTTCTTTAATAATTCTTAAAACAATTGCAAAGTAAATAGTTAAAAAATATTTTTTTAACTGAAATAATTTTTATTGAGTACTGTTATGTCTATCACTAAAGACTACACATATCCAAGTTTTAAAAAATTCCGGAATGTAACTCCACAAAGTGTGTGGTTTCGCGTGCAATGACCCAACCATAGTTCGGGTGATAATTGCATTTATAAATTACAATGGGATACTCTGTATACACGCGTACAGCCGTCTCTGTTACAGTAGCCACAGCTGACAGAAGACGATGTCGATTGAGATGCGGTTGAGCGCGTATCTTTGGTGGCACTTGCTTTGTGTTTCTGTCTGTGTTTTTGTCTTCAAGTGGTCCAAAGAACCGTTCGCGCAGCGGTCAGGAAGTCTATACAATCGATAATTGATCTGGTATAAACATTTGAAGTAGTATGAAATGTGATACCCTTCTTTTAGCTACTAAATGCAATCATCAGTTCGAGTCCTTCCAAATAATGTACATAGGTAGCGATAACAACTGTTTCCTATGTTCGCGACCATTGGATGGATTGAAAAGATTGCATAGTGAAAACAGTAAAAGGAGTTTTATACACGCATCTTTCAAATATCTCTTCTTTTGTTATATAGAACCGGTGGTTGGGTTCAGTAGCCGAAACAAGGGTGTCAGACTACATCCTACCTGAGATGTCCCCAGCAGGTCACTGTACCCCACTCACGGGCTCGACACATACCGAATGGTGGCCTCAATTTGTACTTTTATTACCGTATTACAATTTCTAAACTCTTCTAATTTCAAACTGTTCCATTTTGTATTGCTTTTATCTACTGTATAAGAAACTTTGAGTTAAGCATAATATAATTTTCCCTTTAATTAAAACTGAGTTCTTTATCGTTTCATAAAAAATGAATTAAAAGTATGTCAAATCACACAAAGTCATGAATCATGTTTGGCACTCCCATACCTCTAACTGATTGTAGGTTTGACTAAAAAAAAATAAACCTGTAATATTCATAGATTTGACTCTTCGCAGTCTGACATACTTAGAATTTTTTGCCACAATGAATAATTTTATACAACATTATATTATAAAGATTAGTGGAGTCATCTTAATAAACACTATCGTACCGTCGGAGAAAAATAACATTACTAAAATTTAAATTAACTTATTTTTCTACTCTCCTTTATACTAAACAAGTGATATAGGAAATGTATGCATTACATATAAAATAGAAAAATATAAACAAAAAATGTTATGTTATGTATATCTGACTATTGATGGAAGAGAAAATAATATGAAGTATATAAAAAAATAGCCAAATCTCATCGTACTATATGTACATATAAACAATTACTGTCAACGAAGGACACGATGGGCAGAGCTGTTCGATCAGACCGTCAACCGACCGACTGTGAAACATTCTTTCCGAGAATGCTGACCGTCACTTGCCGGCGTTTGGACGACGATCAGATGGGACGGTGACGGATAGTGTGAATGCCACCATTTAAAATGTATTTGAGAAAGTTTTTACGGCGGCTAACCTGCCGTCGGCTAGACGGCTAGTGGAAATCGGCCTTTACACCACAGCCAATTTAAATGCCAAGGTCAACTAAGGACTTCAAAGGCACCGCTAAGGATGAATTGATACAAGTAAATACGAGTACATTACTCGATACTGAGTACTTTTGGTATCGATACCTGCAGTTGCGATACCAAGTAGGTATCGAACAAAAGTACTTGTATCGAATGGCGAGTATCGACCTGTGTAGTAGGTTGGTAAGAGGAGTCATAGAACCCCCCGAGCATGCGTAAGAGACACGTGTCTGTGAGTTGTATGTATGCACATATTTATTTATCATGTATATTTTATATTACGTATATCGTATATAGTTTATACATACGTTTATGTTTATATGTTTTATATTTTATAATGGGTATCAAGGTTAGAAAAATATAATTCGATACAAGTAGGAATCGATACTTTTGTTTCGATACCGAGTAAGTATCGATACCTTCATACAAAAGTAGTTGTAAATACATGAATAAAAGTATCGATACCTTGGTGGTATCAATTCAACCCTAGGCACCGCTCGAAGTGTTGCGTCTTAGTATATCAACTCTTTGCCCTTATCCTATACCTATACATATTTAACAAATATCCAAAGCCTGAAAAACACTAATCCTTTCAAATTTATCTCCTTGTCTGACCTGTTTCTCCCAATGTTCAGAAATATTCAATATTCTTATGTTTTCATATAAATTAATAATATTATGAATTATTGCACATATCAGTACATAACTACCTCAAGTATATTTATATTTATTGGCTTCAACATAGATTTACATTGAGAATTGTATAATCGTCATTCACTGAATATACAATGCATGCAGTTATCACAACATCAAAAAACTTCACAACTTTCACAACTAAACATAGACTATCTTATACTGTTACTCTTTGGCAAATCTTAATGACTTTAAATAGTACTATAAAAATAGAAGATCAAATAAATAATACTCAAGAATTTTTTATATATTTGTACTATATCACCCTGTTTCTAAAACAAGAAGTAAAATATTAATAGTTTCATACTTATTCATAATTTCTATTTTAGTTAATAGGAACACATTTTTATGCAAAACTGACATTAATTAGTAGAACATAAAATACAATGTTTGATACCACAACATATTATCAAAATTTTCTATGAACTGGTTCATGTTTTCAATAAAAAGGACATAATTGTATTAAATTATTAAATCAAAAATGTAAAACATTACTAATTAGTAAATAAGAACTAACAAATAGAGTCGAAACTCGAATATGTATTCTATTTCTTTTCAATGAAGTTGATTTACTTAAATATTATTAATTTATACTATAACTGTTTAATTTATCCAGATTATCATCATTATCAGGATAAATCAATCATTGTTAGTATATCACCCAAGTGATCTATATAATAGTCTGGAACTATTAAATCTTTAAAATTCACAGTAGATGCATTAATAGCATCTACATCAGATTGCGTTGTAATTCCTGTTAGTACAAGTAATGTCTTAAATCCGCAACGTTTCCCAAGAAGAATATCAGTATCACGACTGAAATAACATAATTATACATTAATAACCCAGTAAATTATTCATGTAAATTATTATACTGTAGAGTATTTACTTGTCACCAATCATTAGTGTACGTTCAGGATTCAAATTATACTTCGTGATTATATGTTCACTCACAAATGACTCAGGCTTTCCAAGCATTACTGCAGTTCTATTGCTTGCTGATTCTATTGTCTTTACAAAGCAACCAGTTCCTGTGTAATATAATGTGTGCATATAATATACACATCTTTAATTTTAAAATTCATTTATATGAATTAAATAAATTTGTTAACCTGGAAATCGATTAGTATTTGGTGAAGGTCTTTCTGTATCACAGTTTGTTCCTATAAAATGGACATTCGGATCTTGTAAGTAAGTAGCAGCTTTCACAAGCTTTGGAAAACTGAAATACTTATCAAAGCCTACAATTACTGCTCCAACTTCTGAATCAGGCTTGAAGTTTTTTACCATTTCCACTTCATCACCATCCATGACATCAGGCTATATAAATATAGCCACAGCACCACATAAATATTACAGAACCAACTTGCACCGTAAGTTAATAACTAATCTTACAATGTTTGTCTAAAGCACTCACTCCTATTCCACAATGTTTTATCCCCATGGCTTCCAGTTCTTTGGTGATACCCACACTTCCGACTACGTATACTTTTTTATCAAAATTCTTCTCTTTAAGATAAACAGCCGCTAGAAAAGAAGTACATACTATTTCCTCCTAAAATAACATTAAAGAAATATTTTAAACACTAAATATCTTTTCTAACTAAAAGTTTTAACATATGATTTCTTTTTACCATTGTTGCATCATATTTAAGGCCTTTACATTTTTCTACAAATTCAGATCTGGTTTTTGTATTGTTGTTTGTTATATAAAAGAATCTTTTACCTAACTGTTTAAATTTATTTACAGTGTCAGGTGAGCCTTGTATTACTTCGGTTTCTCTCCATAGAACGCCTAAGGTTTACTGAGATTAAAACACCATTTATAACATTGTACATATAATCATTCATTTTTGTTTAACTTTTACTTTTTATTTACTAAATTGGTAATGCAAGAACAGCATAATACAGACGAAATTATTTGTCACTTATGTTATAAAAATAATTATACGCTTAACAATTACTCACCATCACAGTCTGATAGAATTACGTCGATAGATTCCATGAAACTTTTAAATTCTATTTTGGACAATGATGTTATTTTTTTCGTTGCCATTTTAAATTAGCTATAGATCCACCTTTTTTTAATCGATATAATATCTTCTGCTATGCACCCGCGGTATACACTTTATCAATACACTACAAGCAACTATTTAGGTACTGGAAAGATAATCTTGAACAGAGCATGCCTCTGACTGACAGCTACGTAACTTGCAACGTGACCTTGCGTATTAGTTACCACACAGTCAGCCAACCTACAAAGCCAAATTTTGTCCAACGCCTGTTACATATAAAGTTATGGCTAGAAGTTTGATGCAAGATTTGCTATAAATAACTAACGCGCACATTGGGGCAGCAACATATGCAGCAAACGGGCTTGCTCAAACCTTGTTCCGGTTTTGCCCATAATTTGACATAAGTTATGTTGCAAGACATTCTGCCAATTTGCTTTACCATTTTGTCAGCTGACTTTGCCTGCAAAACCCAAATCAAATCTGAAAACAGATAGCTATGGTTTTGTAGACAAGTTTTGTCATTTATTGCTAGCAATTTGCGCGAAACTTGTACACAACTGGTTGTCAGAGCAGTTACGTAATATACGAGTATAAGCTGTACCTACTACCTACCCTGATAATCAGTTGTGTAGAAGTTTCGAGCAAATTGCTAGCAATAAATAACAAAAGTTGTCTAAAAAACGATAACCGTCTGTTTCCGCATTTGACTTGGGTTTTGTAGGCAACATCAGCTGACAAAATGGTAAAACAAATTGGCAGAAGGTCTTGCAACATACCCTAATAACCAGTTGTGTACTGTATAGTATTTACAGTACACCCACGAGCAAAATCGACTCTCGTTGGGGGAAAAGCAGCGTAGGGGAAAGGCCCCCCACGACTTGACCACAGAAGTTATTGAAACTCATGCCACACTTACATGAAAGAACCACATTCAGTTTAACATTTATTTCAGTACTCGACAAGCAACCAAATTTGCGCGTTTGAATGTTTGAGGGTAAAAGCGATGTATTTTATTGCCAGTGAAATGAGTAATAAACACAATTCATCACCAGTCTGTCAACAGCCAACGTGTATCGGCGACTTATGCGACGGTTTCCGCGCAGTCGAGCAGAGTCGGCTTCCCTACGTTGTTGTTATAGTGGGGGAGATTGTTTCTCCAATCGTTCAATGGGTGACGATGGCGCCACTGAACAATCACCGATACACGCTGGCTGTTGACAGACTGGTGACCAATTATGTTTATTACTCATTTCACTGGCAATAAAATACCCTCAATCTTTTACCCTCAAACGTTCAAAGGCGCAAATTTTGTTGCTTGTCGAGTACTGAAATGAATGTTAAACTGAATGTGGTTCTTTTATGTAAGTGTGGCATAAGTTTCAGTGACTCCTGTGGTCAAGTGGTGGGGGGTCCTTCCCCTAACTGCTTTTCCCCCAATGGAAGCCGACTTTGCTCGTGGGTGTACATATATGTATATATATATATATAATATATTACGTATATTCTATATAGTTTATACATATGTTTGTTTATATGTTTTATATTAAATATTTAAATAAATATATAAAGTATAGTATTGTATTTTATTTTCTCTCAAGGTATAAACAACTTTTGTGTTGAGTATCAAGGTTAAGAAAATATAATTCGATACAAGTAGGTATCGATACTTTTGTTTCGATACCGAGTAAGTGTCGATATTTTTATACAATCACAGACGAGATATAAGAATAGACCTAACATCTAATGGGACTTGGTGTCCCACGAAAATCACGCTGATTCGAACGCACTTTACATAAAAGTTTCCGACTTTAGGAACTACGTTGGACACCATGATGGCGCACAGCACACACCACACACTCGTGACTGCATATAGCGATACACACATGTAGAGATGGCGTGAACTGCTACTTGTGAATCACTCGTGATTTGATCACGTTCGTTACCAATCACGGTGATTTTTCACAGTGATTCGTGATTGTTTCTGATTGGTGGAGAAACCTAACAGTTCTTTACACGCGACACTTAATCTGTATATTTTATATTATTACGTTGTCGCGGGTAGTGTCTTTAGTTCAAGCGTTATTTAGGGTTATCGATATGCGAGTGTCGAAAGCGCGAAGTTTGAAACAAATGTAATAGGAGAAGGGAGAAAGGTGAAGTGGCACATGTAGGAAACGAATTGAAATCAGTAGATACTCATCCAAAAGGATAGATTTCAAATTATTTATGTTTGCATAATTTCTTTTTATCTCCCTCTCCTAATATGCAAACCAATGTTAAGATGTTAAACACTCGCGAACTGGACAGTTGATAAATGACAGTGAATGGATTGGCAAATAGGAAGTCGTTTTAATTGATTAATAATTTCCTGATTGGATGTCGGTATGTAAGACATTTTGATAATAAACAAATTGTATTTGTTTTTATAATTGGGCAAGGACATGACACTCCTTGTTTCTTTTTTTTCCGCCATTCATCTCTGGACATTACAACTACCCAGACGCGTTCTCGAAACATAAAAAGTATTTGTAAAAGTAAATTCATTTACATAAGTGTAAAAAAAAATATTGAAATTGAAATTAAAGAATTGTGAACAGTTTAAATTGAAGTTGTTATTTAATTGAATACTTAAATACAATTTCACAATTAAAAGCGCCCCATACGCGCAAGCTCACGCCATATTTCCCACGAAGCTTTAAAATTCACTAAGGAGAACGCAACAATATTAACGACATCGAAACAAAAATTCTAGTTATATCGTATAAAGTGAAGGAGTAATTAGAAACAGTGAAGAATAATGAATAAATTAATGATTATAAATTATAATCTACATGTTACCTAACAAATCATTCTTTTAGAATTTCTTGTTTTTTCTACTGATTTTTACAAACACGAATAGTAATGTAATTCATCGTAAAATCATATTGAATACGTTTTTCTGTTTAAAGATCAAGGACTTACGATCGCAATGATCAAATTCACTCAAGATAAAAAAATCGCAATCACGGTCGTAAAGGAAGTTAATCACGACCGTAATCGTGATTCGGTGATCACTGTGATAAATCACCATTAGTGATTTTGCACGCCATCTCTAACTGAAACCGTTTTGTAATTTGATTATTTGTATGCAATTCTTTAAGAAATAACAATTCTTTCTGAAATTGTCACATGCTTCTATATAGATGAAACTGCGATCTTGCAGGTGTACATAAATATTTTTCATTAATTTTTTTTAGTTCAGGCATTATGTGGCCATGTGTATTCTAAAATGCAATGGGATCACTTTTAATACTTTCGTAAGGCAGATCTAAATATTGCCTTGTTATGTTTGTTACGGTTTCTAAAGGTGTAGAGCACTGTCTAGTTAGATGGGAAACTTTATCAACAGAAAAATTCCAAAATCCTGCATCCTGATTAAGTGGTTCTTCTTCTTCTGGGTTTGTACGTCTATTCTCATAAATTTGCACGTTGGTTAGTAAATTCTGAAGTTCTGATGTTAAAGTTTCTATTGCTCTTTGTGCATTTCCTTCGCTTTGAAAAATTGCTGTTTTAAATCTAGGGTCTATTATTGTAGCTGTTGATGTAATTTTATTTGTTTCTATGTATTCAAATCTAATATCAATATTGTTTAACAGGTTATTTTTTAGTGCAAGGCCAGGCATTGTCACAGATGTAATATTTTGGATGGCGTTTTCAATTCCTCTTATTAATGGCATGATTTTTGAAGCTGTAGAATATTTCTCAGCACACAACTCTACAGTTACATATTCTATTGGTTTCAATAAC